ACGATGCGGGGGACAGAGAGGAGGAAGCTTTTGCATGCACGGCGCCGTCAACAAAAAAAAAGAAAAAGGCACCGAAACAGTTACAGTTGGCTCCTAATTCAAAATTGAAATCACCATATCCGCGTGTGAAAAAGCGACGCGGGAAAAGAAAATCCTACGCCTATCGTGAAAAAGTGACGCGGAAAACAGTTACAGCAGTCGAAAAAGCTCTCAACAAAAAAAAGGAAAATGCAGCACCCGAAAGCAAGAAATCAAAACGGGGTTTTTCCTGGGGTTGGTAGGTTATAAGCAAAAGAAAGGGTACGAAAGATAGCACGGGTTCATGAAGTGGTTCGTCCACGCTCCCTTCCCCTTCTCCCTCCTTTTTCTCTCTCCCCGTAACTGTTTTCCTTCTCTCTCTCTTTCTCCCGCTCTGCTCTTTGCGCGCCCATTTCCCTTTCTTGATCATCTGAATCTTGGACCCGTCTTGCGCTACTTCTCGCGCCTTTTCTCTTCTCACCCTCCAGGTCCAACGCACGACGCCCGGTTGATCTATCAATAACTCCCGTTCGCCAATCAGGTGCGTGGATCAATAGGATCTTCCTATTGCGCAACGAATCTGATTGGTTGAACCTCGAGTTCCGAGGGATCAACATGGCGTTCACAGAGAACTCTTCTCAAAGTCTTCTCCTCCTGCTTCTCCTCTTACACCTCAGCTTCCCCGTCACTTTCTCCCCCTTCTGTCTCCCTTGTCGCAACTATAAAACCCGCAAGCGCACCCGCAAATCTCTCTTACGTTCTCGACTCTCAAGCCAGCTTCCGGGAAGCAGTGGCTAGGCAGAGTGTTTGGTGCGAGTTGGAAAGTCCTGTCGGGTTGACGATAGGCTGGCCGGTTGCGCACTGGATCGCCACGACGGACTGTGGGATCTGGGCGAACCGTGTCGAGTTTACGACAGCGGGGTGACGATCGCAGTGGTGGGAGTTAGCACGCGGCGGTCGGGATCGTCGGTGCGGGTATGAGGATCGATGAGTGGAGTTGAGTGAGTGATTGGCCCGGTGCCATATTGGAATTAACGACGAATGCGCCTTTGTTGTTGCGAATCTTTTTTCTCTGACAATGCTGAACCTCCTTCTTTTGGATTACGTCATCTCCTATCTTGACTCTCCTCCCTCACCTTCCCCTTCTCCTCTATCTTTGAATAATGATGTGCCTCGATGCTTCTCTCCTTCTCTCCCTTTCTCTCTCTTGGACGAGCATGAATCTGTATGCTTCCCTTGCGTAAAAGAACTTCTTCCGGAACTCTTCCATTAGTTTCCTGGGTAATCCTCTTACGCAAGGATCCCGTCTTCTTGTCTTGTGAACGGTGGATGCGTGTGTACTGTGCAAGCGATCCATCGTTTCTTGTGCATGGCTCATTTTTCGCACCTTCCACAGTGGATGTATGTATGGAGATGTGTGACCCCCTTTTTTTGCGTTGATTAGACGATTATCGTCGGGATTTTGTTCAAGAATACAAGAGTGTTTAGATTTGTAGATCTAAATGTACTGCGCATGCCATCTGCCTTATGTTGCACGACATCAGCAGCCGAGCTACGGGGCGGCCTCGAGAAACAAGGCGCCTGGGATCAACGTCACGCTGGCTCACTAAACCTAAGCCGCGGATCGGTCCCTTAGTTATATGCATGACCTAGCTGCGGAAGTGTCTTCTTTCGCCCTCTCTCTCTCTCTCGTGTTGAAAGGGATTGATTGTGAGTTGCGCGAGTGTTTTCTTTTCTTGATGATGTCGCAAGGTCTTTACAATTGATTGATATGTGGACTGACCAGTACCCTCCGATCGGGCACCAGCCTCTCGTACCTCCCGTTCCAACACGACATTTTCCCTACAACGAGGGGAGGACACGTGTATGCGAGTGGGACGTACGAGAAGCTGTTGTACAAATCGGCGGACAATATTACTTCCCTCCGGCAAATCGTTGCTCAGGGTTCGTGGAAGCTGGGTTTGTCATTTTCGATACGCACTTCCCACCTTACTCGATATTGTTGCCATTCAAGGAGTTGATCGTCATCCCGTGGACGGCAGTAGAATCCCACTGGCCGCGCACTCTATGCACCGAATGTCAACGTTTTGAGCGCTACAAATCCAGGGGTTTCCACTACCGTGTGCGGAGTGAAGACTAACATAAAGAAAGAGCCACGCGGCTGAGACCATCCACGTCAGACTCGGAACTGACC